GATATTGGGCTTAATTTTGGAGCAGGAGCAGCCCAAATACAAACGTGCAGAAAGTTAGATGTGCTTTCATATCAAATCTTATAAAGCTTTTGCTCAGGCTCATTTATTGTCTAACATTGGTACTAAATGCAATCAATATAACATATAATGACAATGTGTGCTTCATCAAATATCTTAATGAGTATTTTCAATTTTTAGTCATAACCGTGTTGGAAATCCATGCCTGCTTTATCCGATTAGTCTCTTATTAGAGATGAATAAGATTAAAATTATCTTATAAAGATTTGATGAGTTTCTTAGATATTTTGATTGATTTAAGTCAAATGAAATTGATAAATCAGTTAGTCTATCAGGTCCGAGTCATGATATTTGGTATCAGAACTAATCTAATATTTAGACATGATGATAGGACTCGAGTAGGAAAAGATTACCTGTGGATGAAGTCGGACGAATCGTCACAATATGGAGCTACGCCTTATTGTATTATACTAAGGTTTGATTTGGGCTACATTGGCTCTTGAGGGTGGAAAAATTATAATACCTCGATTAGTTCAACATCGAAAGTGAATAAGACAAAAATTAACTTATAAGGGTATAATGAGTGTATTATTATTTATTTTAGTTTAAGGACTTTGGCTAGTGGTTTAGGTAAAATGAAGCTAGTTAGTCTATCAAGCTTGAGTCGTGATACTTGGTATCAAAGTCGACTTAGTATTTAGGCATAATGATGGGACTCGAGTAGGAAAGGACTACCCGTGGATAGAGTCAGAAGGCTAATCATGACATAAAGCCATCACTTAAATATTTTATTAATTAAAAAAAATTCTCTTCCACCCAAACCTTAAATATATTACAAAGTAATTAGATTACTCTAAAAATAAATATGAGATAAAAACTTACGAAGAACCACTAGTCAAAAATCATAAAATTAATATTTAATATTTATGAAATATATATAAATATAAATAATTATATCAATTAATTATAAAATTCATACATCATAAAAATAGTGACAATTCTTATGTAATAAATAAAATCATATATTAATTATATGTAACATATATATAATAATCATATAACAAAAATATTCACTCGATAATGTATTCTCCCAACGGTGAATGGATCTCTCATCTCCCCAAGTGGAGACACGTTCCTCCCAACAGTAGATAGAAGAACCAAACCGTCATATATGATGGTTCGTTAATCCCCGAAAGGAATTATCCTATATACTCTCATCTGGGATACATAAATAACCATGATCATTCATTTATATCTATTTATTCATTTATGCATATATCCAAGAAATAATATAATAAAATATTATGAGGGATCATGTTTGATATATAATCTCCTAGACTATATTTATTGGTAGCTCTACACTACGATGGGCTCGTAACTCTTTTCTCAAGTTACACTTCAATATGGACAAGTAGCATAATCACATATATTATACGATAACAATCATATTAATATCATAAATTTATAAAAAAAATTAATAATTATTTTTAAATGGCATATTTAGATAAAATCCTAAATACATAAGATATCAATCTATTAATTGTCATTAATAAATCAAAACCTTAATTGGAATGATTCAATTGGCTTAAACTAAACTCAATTCAATTAGAACCTAATAGAACCAACATCAAATCATTATAGAACCGATTTAGAATCACCCTATACTGGTGTAATTTAGATTTGATTGATTTTAATTATGTCAAGTATGTTTAAACTAGTTAAGTTAATCTGAAATCACCCTAAATCAATTTTAACCTATTAAACATGTCTGATCCAATCAATTAACGAGCTCAAACCAACAAAAAGAAAGGAAATTGGACTATATCATATAATGTTAGTTCAAACCAAATTGACTCACCTAAGTTTTGGATAGATCATGTGCGTTATACATGCCTATCCTAAGTAATAGGTTAGGTTGAGATATAATTGACTAGATAGAGGAACGACGATATGTCTAGCGCTAATCGCATAGTTGGGTGAGCCTAACTTTATAGATTGGTTGAGGCTCACTCACAAGTTGGGTTGAGCTTTACTAAACTAAACCACACTTAGCTCGTGGGTTAGGTCGTATCTAAACACATAAGTTAGAGTTATATCTGACCATATGGACTAGGTCGAATCTAATCACATGAGTTGGATCATACTTGAACGCTTGTCACATGAGTTGGCTCCTACCTGGCCACATGAGTTAGGTCTTGTATATCCACATGAGCTAGGTCATACTTAGCCACATGGGTTGTGTTATACATTACCATAAGGGTTGGGTCCTACATGGTCATATGAGCTAGGTTGTACTTGGTCACATGAGTTGAGTCGTACATGACCACAGGTGCGGGGTCGACCTGATCAAACAGATCAACCCGACTTAGGTTATACCCTAATTAGATTGATCGTATCAAATTAGATTTTAATATTTTAAATTATTAAAGAGTAATTCAAATCCATGAATTAAGAATTTAAATTCATGATCTTAAATTTAAAACTAATTAAATCATAAAAATTTTTATAAATAATTCTTAAAACGTATATATATTTAATTCAATAAAATAAAACTATTATGTTAATCTAAAAATAAAAATTTTAATAATTAAATCAATCTTAAAATTTACTTAAGCTTAAGAGATTATTATATGTCAAATAATCATTCTAACATCATAATTCAATTATCACTATTTATTAGTCATAAAATTTTAAAATTAAAATATTATTATGCATCATAAAATTATAATAATCCTAATATCAAATATTTCAAAACATGAATCAAAACTAATTAGAAAAGAATAAAAGATTCTACCTCTCCTCATCGATCCTCTCTTTAGGCAATCATCTCTTCAATTCTTTCACTGTTGGTAAATAATAATTTTAATTTTTAATTTTTAAATTTAAATTTATTTTATTTCACACATAAAGATAGAAATATAATATTTATTTCTTATAATTTATATATATAAATAAAATATAAACTATTTACTTCCTAAAAATTACATCACTCATTATGAAATAAATCAATTAATAATTTAATTTATTGATAAAATTTATAACTTATATTAAGAAAAATTAATTTTAATCATTTTCTTAACCATTCTAAAAAATAACTAAGTTAATAATTTAAATAAAATAATATATTATTTATAGTAATTAATTTATATTAAGGAAAAAATTATCGGTGTGATTACATTTAGGCATAGTGAGAGGGCAATTATACTACTATCAACTTATAAGGGAGGAAATTATAATACCTTGATTAGTCTCGGAAGTGAAAAATATTAAAATTACCTTAGAAGGTTTTGATAAGTATATCACTATCAACCATTTTGATTAGTGGTTTGGGTAAACAAAATTGATCGATCAATTAGCCTGTTAGGCCCGGTTCATGATATTTGATATTAAAATCGACATAGTATTTAGGCATGACGAGGAAACTCGAGTAAAAAAAAGAATTATCTGGATGGAGTCAGAGGATTCGCTACGACGTAGAGTAGAGCCATCGCTAAACTATATTTCACATTTAGGGTTTGATTGAGATTATAATAAACTTTGTTGAGGATGTCAAGTGCTCGAGTGAAAAAGATTATAACACCCAAAAGTTGTGCCCCTCCGGGTTAAAATGATATGCCACCGAGCAGAATCCATCGGAACCTTGTTGTTCCATCTGCAAGGCCCAGTACCAATGAATGCCGAAAAGGCCACATGAGACCGACGTATTTACAACATGGATCGACATAAGTTGTGGTCCGCTGAATTGACATCCTCCTACATCATCAAGATAATATCTTCTTCCCCAGAGCACACCACTGTGGATAGAAGAAGATGCACAGATTCAAGCGTGTTAGCTCGTGGTACAAACAACATGGATCACCAGAAAGTTGTGGTCCACTCGACTGACATTTTTCCCGGCAGAACATCAGGGAGAGAAGGCAAAAAGATCCGAGTCTGTGTTAGACCATGGGATTCACCAATCGAAGCCGAAGCATGAACAACATGTGCCACCAAAAAGTTGTGGTCCATCAGAGCTGACACTGACATCCTCATATACAAAAAGTATTTTGTGTTTGCTGAGAGGAGAGGAGATTAGGGAGAGAAGGCAAGAGTTTTCATGGTGAATAGGACTATTCACCGAGGAACACATTGAGCTGTGGTCCTGAGGGGAGAGGGGAGGGGGGTGATGATGGACTTGCAGTGCCAGTACCAACTTGCATGGATTTTGCATCACAAAAGATCCCTCTGTGGGTCCTGCCTGTGGCCTCTGTTTCAAAGGATGGCTGTCAGAGGAAATGGATTGGACATCATGAAAAATGAGTGGGAGAAAAACATCACTCTCAATCATTTTCTGCACATTGGAATCCCATTCACTTGCCTTATGTCATCATTCCATCTCAAGTCGGAAATTTTGACTTCAACAAAGATGCCTTCGTTGGTCGAGTTTAGGTGTTGATATTAGGTTTTTAAATTACAAAAAAACAAAATATTTATCCATTTTTTTTATGAATATTTTATTTAGTACATCATCCTGAAAGCTTATCAACAACGAAAGATTCTTTAGTAAGATTTTCTAAGCTTTAGAAATAAAAAAATATATATATTTTTATCCCAAATCACATCTTTATCGTTCAAAATAAAATATCTATAATCTAAACTTTTAAAATATTATATCTATAGCTCATAAAAAAATTTAAATTAATACGATAACATAAGAATTCTATTCATGACATAGCAACGACGACGAAGGTTAACGAGATCACGAAACTGTATCACAAGAATTAAAAAATGAAAAAAGAGAATGAACGGCTAGTGTTTGGCATTTTGGCGTGCACAAATTGCAAGCAGATTCCTCATCTTTATCATTGATGAGCTGAAAATTACAGAGACTGATCGGAACCAAGCAACTTTATTCCCCCCCATCGCGGTGGTGGAAGACGAGCTTCTGATAAGAAGAGAAATAAAAGAGTCTTTTAAGCTTAGGGGACCAACGAAATCCATTCTCGGATACTAAAATAATCTTATTATACTGTAGAAGTTTAGGGGAATAATTCAGTCATCCCTCTTGTTAATGACTGAACAGCTCCAATTACAATTTCTACAGACCTCTCTGCTGCAGAAGACACGACTACGATACCTTCTCCCATCTGATGATATATTATGACACTCCCCCAATGAGTAGAGCAAACAATTGAATCTCACATTACAGGCTTTTTCTCTTTTCCTCCCTTCAGAAGAGACGACACCGAATCATATGGTTAACTTGGTCCCTAAGGACTCCATGCTACCTATGCTGCTCTTTGGGTGTGCCAGAAACCACGAGTCCTCTCGGTAGGTCGAAAGACTGATCTCAGCTGACGAAGATTTGCTCGGCGAGTTGCAGCTCTCGAATCCTCTGCCTCCCTTGTCTTGGGTCATGTTGGAACAAGAAGAAGGATAGGGCAAGGCGTTGGTCATCCTGAAAAATAGCAAGGCAATTACGCATGCGTCGTCGTCCTCGTTCACCTCCAAGTATTGTGCTTGGAGATGGATTCACAATGAAGAATTCAGATAAACCCACCTTTCCTTGCGCTTTTCTAGGAATCGAGCCAGTGATGCCTTCCGAGCTTGAGGTACAGCTGCAAAGATGGGTCCGCAATCTATTCAGTTGACAAGAATCTAAGAATCGGTGGTAGGAGAAAGAAAGAGAGGTGTTTCACATGCTTCATGCATTATACATGATTGCAGATTACCTCTCGGCGTGTTATTCGTTGCAGTTCTTGAGCCTAAAGCAGTAGTTGGAGCTTTGGAGGTGTCGTGGAGCCCTGTAGGAACCAGTGGAGCAACGACGGCTTTAGGCCTCGGTGCATCATCGGTGTTGCTAGAACCACCCCCTGCAGCGGCCCTTGCATGCGATGCAACCGATATCGGGCTTGAAAGCCCCGAGCAAGGTGCTACCACGTAAATCGGGGTAGGAATCAAGGTCTGCTTCGTACTAATACCATTAGATCCTAACACTTTGGCTGGCACAGGGGCTGCAGCCGGTAGGGGTGCTTCAGATCTCGGATTGATAGCATTTGAACTTACATTAGATCCCTTACTCGCCAATAACATAATTGCTCGAGCCTGAAAAGCACAGCCAGTTCATAAATTAGCATCACAACCATCCTCCATCTAATTATATCACCAAGAGACGCAGGAGATTACCTTATCCAATGGAACATCATCATACACATTCACGCAACCCCCATAGAAGATAGTTAACTGAGCAGTCATATGACTGGGCTTGGGCATATTCCTGGAGAAAGAAATCCATCAGACCATAATAGTTAACAAGATGGAAAAGCGGGTGTCTCAAAAAGAGCAATAGAAGACTTGCATCTGAAACTAATTCAACAAAATCTTACCTTGGAGCAAAGGCTCCACCAGCAGGGCCACCGATAGGGCTGTTAACTGCAGTCCCACCTCCAGTAGGAAGCTGCTCGAGTGAGGTGACTGCTATATTGGGACCGCTATGGGCAGCCTGAACCTTGAAGAAAGGACCGCCCATGTTGACAGGAATCATGTGACATGTAGTAGCATCAAGGGAAGAACCAGTGCTCTGAGGCTGGTATCCATGCATGGGATGCTGGTTGATGCTTTGTCTTCCGAGACCAAAGCTTTTCTACAAGATCATGACACAAGAAGATGAAGCACCAGTGCGATTCACGATGTCTGAAACCAACCGGGAAGTCGATGCACACACCTGAGATGCTACAGCATGGGAAGCTTTCTGACTGGGTTCAAAGACAGCCATGCTTGGCAGAGGATGAAACCTCGAAGAAGACGAGTGCTTATCGAAGAAATAGTTCCTAGCCTTCTCCTCCTGAGCGGCCTTGTAGAACACGAATGGCTGCATGGTGGAGACGTTTGAGAAGGGCCACTGAACCGCTGAACCTCCAAAGAGAGCTGAGAGATTGGAAACCAAAAAGAAACAATTGCGCATAAGGGAAATCTGGAATAGAATAACAAGCATCATCTACCATGATCACAGTAACCGGATATCGATTAACCACTAAAAATCTAAACTACAAAGAATTACAACATGATGGATCTGTGGACTAAAAACTCCGAGTGCTCTGCTTTTGTTTCACGATGGAAGTGACTGCACGTACGCATATGCAAAATTGAAGCCAAAGCAATCATAGCGGCAAGAAAACTTGCAAGGAAAGCATGCCATGTAAATCATTACAGGCTGAGCCTCAGCCTATTTCAACACTTAACTAAAAAGATGGTAAGCAAGAATCAGAAGAGAAACACCACTGAGAGACCGTCGCCTGATTGGAAAAAATGGTAACAAGAATTTATTCGGAACTCCTACTATTTTTCATCTCCACACCACTATAAAATCATCATCTTTCCATACAATCCAAACAGCACAGCAGCAAAATCATTCGGAGAACCAAAGAAATCATTCAAAATCGCATCTTTAGCGGATAACCACCAAAAACACCTTAAAAAGGAGAGGAAAAAAGACAACTTTGTAAAAAAAATAAAAAAAGGAGAAAAAAAATACGAGAAAGACAACTAGAGCTCCATGGATCCAATGGAAAAGTTCAAACAAATAATAATAATAAAAATAATAATAATTATTATTATTATTATTATGATAGTACCTGCATCTTGGCGGTTCCCCGAATCCCTCCCGTGAATTCCCAAGAAATCCCTCTCCATCGCTCGATCTGATTCGGAAAGAAACCTATTCCTTCTTCTTCTCTTCGAGGAGCTACCGAATCCTGCTGAAAATTTCTTTCTTCCCGTGAATGGGAGGGTAATTAAAAGGAACCGACTCCCTCCCGGTGGTTGATATAGCGATGGAGTGGAGCGCCACCGGCTGTCGCCGGTCGCGGACCACGTGCGCGGCGAAAGAGGACTCCTCGCGTCGCACGCGAACCCATCCGGCGCGGAGGGCGACCCGGCGTGGTCCCTGGGAGCCGACACGTGCTGCGCCGCGCCGCGCCGCGCCAGCGAGCTCCCGTGTGGCTGGGCCCCGCCGAGCCACCTGGCCTTCGCCACGTGACGAGGCGCCCCCTCCGTCGGCGATTAATCGCGGCGTACGGAAGCGTACATCGATTGATTTCCTCCTCGTGTTTTTGGTGTGTGTAAACACTGCAACGAGGTTTGGGGGTTTCGACTTTTTGTACCGTGGAATTATTGTGCAATTTATAATAGAAAGAAGCGTCGGATGGATTCATTTTAACTTAAATTATCTATTTTTTTAATTACATTAAATGATATATTAGACACTCGACCGTAAGATTCATCACTTACAGCCGGACGACCAACGGTTGGCAGGCAAATAACATACCAATTTAACACTTTTTACCGCCCACTTAAAACATAACGTAATATACAAATCTTGAATCCAATCAATGCTAAGATTCGTGGTATTTAAGGACCACTTTCGTGATGAGCAAGCATTGGATTCGATCATTTTGTGGGGTCACAAATCTTGAATCCTGCAAATATACTTAGCATTTAATTAATCTTTGATAATATGCTTAGATATTCCCAGAAAGATTAATGATACTGTAGTGGTTATATATATATATATATATATATATGGGTTAGTCGTTGTCAATGGGTGGCAAATGCCACTTAAGGAAATTAAAGTGTTGAGGACGAGGTCAAGTTCTTTTTTAATACCCGAAATTAGCCGATTAGCTTAAACTAGATTGAGCACACTTTTAACTGAGTTTGAGTAGAAAAATAGATACCCGAGTTAGATTTACTTCCTTGGGTTTAGGAAGGGTACAATTTACAGGTCTCTAATGTGTATCTTATGTTTCTAAATAATAGCAGAATGTGTTCAGTAACTCTTTATCTACTTTTTTTTGTTTAAGTATGTTTAAATAGAAAATTATTAGCTAAACTAACCAGTATATTCAATTTGAAGCATGTTTAAGTAATTTTAGTATAAAATATTTGTCACTTAAGCTAATCAACATATTTAAAATTTTATTAAATGAGATCTTGAATTTTCTATGTTTAGTTATCACACCAAAATTTAGGTATTTAACTTCAAATCTAGATGTTAGTGATATTGTTATGAAAAATATTGATGATGAGCCTGACTTGGTTTGAGCTCGCATGCATGCGTAAGAAATCTTCAGATATAATCAAGAAGGTCTCGAATACTCAATCTAGTGTCGACTTGCATAGAGACCAAGATTGGATAGAATTCTCGATATGATCATTATGATACTTAAGTTAGTAACAAAATGAATTAAGGAGTTTTGTAAATAATCATCACCTTCAATTATGATGATATGCTAGACCTTTGTAATTAATTCAATTGGAATGAAAGAAATATTTTCTTAACATTTTATAGTAAGATGATATCCAAATATTATTGAGGACCCTCTTGATTTGATCTGGGTATAATCTATCGAGCCCTATTAATTCTACGACGTACGTATGGAGCTCTTAATAACCAATTGTTCTTCCCACCATGAGTTTAATATGTGGCTATATACATTTATATTTTGTGAATTCTCTCACTAATTTCTTCCCTTGTAAGAGCTGGATGATGTCTCACATGCTTGCCTTTGGGGGTAGCTTGTAACATGAGGAATTTAAAGCACGATGTCCCATTGATTAGGTGACTGGAACATCACTTGAGTGACAGAATTCTCTTGTCCGTCTTGCTTGTTGAAGGTACATGCACGTTTCTCCTATCCCATTGATTATGTGCAGTTGAGCATCTTTGCTGACAACTCCTTTTCATCTTGTGATTTGTCCGTCCCAACCTATTGATTGACTAATTTGATTCTGAGATGAGTACTTTCTTTAGAGAATTAGAGAAGCTTGACTGGAAAATTGGGTCTGAGACAAATTAAGTTGTGTATATAGAAGCATGAGTTGTAAGAGAGAGGTATAGATAAGATTCATAATGTTTGAGTGTTGGTGCAGTTAATAATGGAGAAATCGAACGTGATATTGAGATGCATTACTTTGATCATTGGCGTCGATGAGGCCATCTCAGAGGATACATAAACATGTTATTTAATCCCTCCCCTTTATTCTCTCAAGTCAAACGATTAGTATATTGCATGGTGTCAATCAACCTTTATGCATGCATGCATGCATGCATGGTTGAGTAGTACGTACTTACGGAAAGCTTCCCTTTTGATTCGTTAATGCAGATTAGTGTTAGCTTATTCCAACAATACACTAACATCTCCTCTTAAAATAAGTTCGAATAAATGCAAATTCTTCGCAATAATCAGAGAATTGGTATGATTAATCATAGTCTCTTCTTTTGAGTGTTAGAATTGAATGCATGCATCTGAAAGCCAAATTTCAAGATCTACGTGACGTAAAGATATGAGTTATTTTTCTTTTGGTCGACACTAGAGATTATTTGTGGACCAAAAATCCACAACTATTTGCATCACATAGTCACATTGATAAGATATGAATTGCTCGTAGTCATTTCTTGCTTTACAAATGATTCCACTCCACATGTGCATCACATGCATATGCTTTTTCACATACCCTCAAATATACATATATATATATATATATATATATATATATATATATATTAGCAGCACTGCTCATGGGGTGTATGTCATGGATATGTACAGTGGGCGAATGTATTACTATTTGTACA